TATATATACAGTATATGCTGTTTGGAGGGCCAGCATGCAAAAGTTTGGGAAACTCTAGTCCTATATGAAACTACAGCAACATACAACTCATACAATGTTGCAAGTAAAACAACAACAGCACTGCAAAAGGAGGATTTTTGTTGTACTGATATAAACACAAACAATTTAGTTTTTAAATATCCCAACCATAAAATGAATGTTAATTAATAAGCCCTAAAAATCATATGAGTCAGGATTCAGTTTAAGCTCTTTATTGTACCTGAAATTACCATCAGCAAATTTACCCACCTGAGATTCGTAGCGGATCAGCAAATCATACTCCATGGAATAAGGAATGTTATTAATAACAAACTCCAAAATGCCCCCTTCAGGGACTCGTGCGAACCCTAAATCTGTCCAYGAGGCAGGACGACCCAGCTGATGTTCCCTGGTCTCCAACGTACAGCCCTGACAATACACACATAGTGAGAAATGGTTCATATACATAAAGACTGAGAACAAAAAAAMGAACCTCACCTGCTCCATTTTAGCGAACTCCGCCTCATACAGGAAGTGATCCAACGCCATGAAGAAATATCCAGACTCCACCAGCGCACACTGGCGTCCTGTCATGTGACTGCGACAGCGGCACTGTCCGCTCTCCATGGAGCAACTGAGAAAAACACATCAAATATTTCACAGCAGAATTTTAAGAGCCTTTCAGTGAGGAGCAGTTTGTAGCTAATAAACTTGAGTTGATTGTTTATTATCCTGATCAGGTTTAATTAAACGTAAATCAGAGCCATGGCTAAAAATAACTATTATTGTGAAATAAAATGCTGTTTAGTATGGAGGACTAGATCTGCCATAACTGGAAATACATGTAGAAATAATTCAACGGCTTGATAAAAGAAATAAATGGCTTGAAAAATTAGTAATTAAGTAATAATGTGCCAACTATTGCATAAAAACATCAATAAATAAGACCGTAATTAATTTATTTGACTATACAATGCAACATAAATTAATATTAATATCATTTTCAACCTTACTAATTTAACATTATCACAATTACTTCATTTTGCTTTTTATTTCAATCACATATATTTTTATTAATTTTACTTTTTGATTTCATTATTTATTTTGTCTATAATTTCCCTATTCTGTATTTATTTATTACATTTTTATTTTACCATCACATTTTATTGTTGTTTAGTTTTATTTTATTTACTCTTACTTTTTTACCTTGCATTATTTGATTTATTTTTTTTTTATCTTACACTGATTAATTTTCTCCTATAATATTTCCTCTTTACATTTTTCCCTATCAGGTTTTCTCCTTCGTTCTTTAATTTTAATTTGTTGCACTGTATAGTCAAATAAATTAATTACGCTCTTATTTGTTGATGTTTTATGCAATAATTGCCACATTATTACTTAATTACTAATTTATCAAGCCATTTATTTCTTTTATCAAGCCGTTTAATTATTTCTACATGTATTTCCAATTATGTCAGTTTTGGTCCTCCATGGTTTAGGACACAGTTACCTGATTAAATTGTAATAAATAAATATTTAGTTTGAATTGAAGCATTCAGAGCTTAAAGTTCTGTCAAAAAACAGAACCATAAACAGACAGAAAGAGAACTGAAAACACAACATGCAGCTGAAAATCTGGCACCCAGCATCAAAGGAGTTAGAAATTCTTGCCTCTTAAGTTTAGTTACTGCGGCTCAGTGGTGGTCTGAGTTGGAAGATGGTGATGCCAAACATCTAAAAGCTCTTGGCAAGAAACTGAATGCCACGTGCTAATTTGTGTGCAACAGTAAAAAGAAAAAAAAAACATTGATTGCAAAATATATAATAAGCTTTCATGAACGTTTGAGTAATTGGTGTAACGAGAAACACATTTAAAATCACTTTGTATAACTGTCATTGAAGCGGGTCGTTAACCGCTTTGTTTTGACTTTAGTATGTTAGAAGTAAATTAGTGAGTCTTGCAGACAGGAGCTGCTTTACTGATTTCTGAAGCTACAGCACCACTCACTGGTTGTCCAGCGCTCCTCCAACGTCGCACTCGCAGCCTCTGCAGCCGCTCAGGTCGTGGCTGAGCCCCCAGTGTTCCAGCTACAACCACAGGATGACAGACAGACAGTCAGGTCCAAACAGCTGAATCACTCTGCARGTCATTACAGACTGAGACAACATCAACTGGAGTTTACCTCAAATAACTAAGTGAGTCACACATTCTGTCCCCGGGATGTTAATTCAATAAAACTTTATTTTTAGGCTTTGGGCCATCATGATTGCCTGACTCCTCCTGCATCCTTACACTGACTTTTCTCTCCTCTCCTCTCTTCTGATAGTTCACAGTAAACATTCTTAAAATGTTTTCTATGAACCATGATTTTAAAATACTTTTCTTCTATACAGAAGACTTGACATATACTGTATATATATATATATATATCATTCTTAAAATGTTTTCTATGAACCATGATTTTAAAATACTTTTCTTCTATACAGAAGACTTGACATATACTGTATATATA